GCCATGCTCTTGATCCTCTTCTTGGTCAGGGTCTGAGATTCTGAGTCAGTCTGCCAGGGTGAGCTAGACTTTTCTGAGCCACAGTCTGGGTTTTGGCATCGGTTATGCCTTGCTGCCGCTCTTTGCCCACTTCATACGAGGCTGGAGGTTGCTTCTGGTTGCTTCCCCCATTCCCTGCCTCCTGCTTGTTCCGACATGGTGGTAAGTCTTAGTGAACGTTGGCGGATGAATATATACGATTCCATGGAAGGATCACTGAGTCGGTCCTCCAAGAGGCAAAATCACAGACAGACTCAAGTGACTACGAAGAGATACAGGACAATATCAAAAACACAAGGAAACACAAAGAGATACATAATCACTTCTGATTTCATTTCTGAAATTGGGGAGCAGGTGCTTTACAAAACAAAACTCTTTTGCTGGCTAAGCTTACAAATAAGCTTCAGCAAATATCTGTGTTTATGCAATGACAAGCCATTTTGAAAGTGGATTTCAGTCAGTGTGCATGCTGTATGTTCACATTCACATGTTCAGTTTCCAGAATGTATGAAATAATCATATTTTGTGCTGAATGCAAGTATCTCCTTGGAGATTTTAAGATTTAAGATCAACTGTTACTGGTGTGCTGTGCAACCTCATATTAAAAGTCAAGTTTTTTACATGTTCAATGAACTTCTTTTTGTCTCTCCACTCAGGCTGATTCCTGAGTCTCCACGTTGGCTTTTGCAGAAAGGTCGGGTGGAGGAGGCTGAACTCGTCATAAGCAATGCTGCAAAAAGGAACCGAGTCCCTGTCCCTGAGGTCTTGTTCAAGGCTGGAGAGTGCTTAGAGCTAATGGTGCTTATTTACCTCTACATATGTGAAAGTCATTATGTTTTAGTACAATCCAAACCTGTAATCAGGCTGTACCTTTCCTGTACTTATTAAGTAGACATTGCACTGTGCACAACATGATTGTTCTGTTTACTTTTCTGCACTGTATGTCTGCATCAGCAACCTAAAGATGAAGCCCAGCAGACATTCACATATATGGACCTGATACGCACCCGTAACATGAGGAATATTACAATTCTAGGTGTTTTCATATGGTAATATAAACTTTCTTCATTCCAAGTCTCTGTACTATACATGTATGATACAAAAGTTGTAACACTACAAATTGACAGTGTTTTTATTATTATTTACTTAAGACACAGTGCTTATAATTTGATCTTTAGAAAGAATGTCTCTGGACAGTTACCTCCACCAAGGTAAGATAAAAGATAAGTTCAAAAACATTTTGTGAGTTGATATAGTGAAATTTAATTTTATATTAAATTTATAAAAACGGCTTGATGTACTGCTTTGGTAATCAGTTTTTACAGATGTGTAAAGAAATTGAATTTCAAAGTCAAATTATTTAAAATGTTGCAAAAATCCAGTACACTGGATTTTGGCTGGGACAAGTATCTTTTGAGCATTGTTAAAAGTGTTAAAAGTGTTAATAGTGTGAAATTTTTTATTTTTATTATTGTTGTTACTAAAACATTCTGCATCATCTTAAATCCACCCTGATTTTGGATTTCTGCAGGATATCTGTCGCCATGGTCTTTTATGGCCTCGCTCTCAATATTAGTAACCTGAATGGAAACATCTCCCTCAACTGCTTCATCTCTGGGGCCATCGACATTGTGATGTACATAGCTACATGGCTGCTGGTGAACCGGGCGCCAAGACCCATTCTCCACTTCTCCTCAATGATGTTTTGTGGCATCATGCTTCTGATCATCAAGCTGGTTCCTGAGGGTCTGTACTGTATACACACTCAGTACAACACTGATTCAATCTGGGCTCTTTTCTTTATGTTTTTCTTTTTTTATCCTCAGACATGCATGTCATATTTCAGGTGTTGGGCTTGCTGGGTCGGATGGGCGTGTCTGCTGCTTACAGCTTAATATTCGTGTTCTTCACTGAGCTGATCCCCACTGTTCTCAGGAACATGGGATTAGGGATCAACTCCACAGGTGCACGATTAGGCACCATCCTTTGTCCGTATGTGATTTACTTAGGTAAGTGTTTCTGGTTCTTTATGATTTTTGCTGCTGCATTTGTGCAGTGTTTAAACCAAAGTACCATGAGAGAGAGAAAGATTGAAATACACATGAGTGAACAGGAAATTCCAATTAAACCGTAAAAAATATAGATAAATAATAATAAATGCAGACCATTTGTATACAAAAACATAGATGGAGTAAGAGCAACTGCAAATTTACTTCATCTAAAAATGCCAAGTCAGGAATTTAATTTTGATATGTGACACTGCAGAATATATATACACACATACAGTATATATTCTCACAAGAAACATTATGATTTTGGTATCCTCTTTGCCTCTGCGGCATGTAATTCTTAAGATTATATTTATCACATTTAACACTCAACAGTCATGAGATATCGTCAGGTAGGGCAAAGGGTTATCTTTTCTGTCACAGTCTTTTCTGGCCTGACATATTATCCATAGTTGTTTCATATTGTGCATTGTCATTTTGCTTTCTGTGTTGAATTTGCTATCCTGAGTTTTAATTACATTGTTAGCATCAGAGCACCGTTCTCTTTCTGTATCATCCCCAAAAGAATCAGATTCATTTCTTTAACATGTCGCAGATATTTAGACAGGAAGAAACCCCGATTAAACTAATCCCATTAAAGATCGCTCTGTTCTAATGCACCAGTTAATAATGTTTATTACATCAATGTTTAACAAGTTAAAATGTCAGCAGTGGTAAGGGGCTATGAATGCAACCCACTGAAATGAACAGATCAATGACAAAGAGTGCTTGATGTTCTGATTGCAGGTGTTTACAGCAAGATCCTCCCATACTTGATTTTTGGCATCTTAAGCATCATGGCTGCTGTTTTTAGCATAATGCTGCCAGACACCAGAAACAGCAAACTTCTCGACCTCATCAGCCAGGCCCAACCCATCAGAAGGTATGTGTGAAATATGACTAGCAGAAATAATTATCGATATTCTTTAAACCGTAATTTTGTGAAAGTAAAACAATAACATCTTGTCGCCTAAATTGGACATTGCAGACCTCATTGCGTGAAGAGCAGCGTACTCACCACATCTTGTTTCTGATTCTTCTGCCTCTCTTTCTCTCGTTTTCTTAAAGCTGCCACTGCTGCTGTCCAAAGAAAACAGATCCAGCCCAGGCAAACAAGGCTGTAAAAGAAATGGGCAACAGTGCCACCTGCTGAAGGAGAATCACAAAGCAAGAGTCGAGTGATGTCAAAACAAGAAGACCTCTCAATCCTACACATTAGTTCTTTTAGTAGAAATATATACATATATATATTTATACAGCTTTACAGTACAGTTTTTGCCATTCACATTTTCTCTATTACACATCACTCACACACGTCAGCAAAGTCATCAGGGATAATTTGGGGTTCAGTCACTTACACAAAGACATTTCAGCATGCAGAAAGTGGTACACTGGGATCGAACTGCCACATTTCTGGTCAAAGCACAGCCCGCTCTATATCTCCTGAGACACAGCCCACCCATCTTCTGCTTCTGTTGTGTAAAAGTATCATCCAACCCATCCTACTTTGCTGTTCCATCTGTTTTCTTTAACATGCACAAGTCTTCCCACACCCAACTTCTATTATTTCAACTGTGAGGCCATCACTGGCATCAGGAGCACAGGACAACACTCAACCACTCAACTGCCACTTTAACATAATATTATCAGGTCATAGGTTCAGGTCGATAAGATGTAACAGGTCAAAAGCCTTGTATGTGCAGCTGTAGCAGTACTGAGTAAGACGTCGCATCTTTGTTTCATGTTTCTGAGATATCCCTGGTTGTTATAGTTGTTAATGTTATTAATTATGTGTAATGTCTGCGGTGTTGCTGTAGCATTTGGTCCATGGGAAGTGATACTGAATTTCCCATCAAAAATCAACCCTGTAAAAATACAGTTTCTTGGGTGAAACATTCCATTTCCAAATACCACAGAACAAGCTGAATCATTAGATTTTTTTGCCATCTTGCTAAGATTTGTAACTGTTATGTACATGGAGAGGTAACTGGGTTGATTTACCCTTGGGTACTACTAAAGAAACATTAAAGATCCTGTTTTACAACCCTGTTGTCCTTGCTTATAGATGGCCCCTGTGTCCATGTGATTTTGCAATTAATTTATTAATTTATATTCTATATAAAACGCATATTATAAGACGCATATTCTTTAAAAAAAGTGTTGAATAATAAAAAATACCACAAACTAATGGACACACCAAAAAACTCAAGACAGCTATGAGGATAGCAGCAGTATTGGTGCCATATACATTTAGCCTCTGACATATCATATGCTCTCTCCCTGATGGGAACCTAATTCATAAACCCCGCCACATGTAGGTTTACAGATATGTGCATTTATTAGGTACACCTGACTAAAACTAATGCAGCCTAATAAAAGTCCTGTAACACAAGGCTGCAGTTTGTTTCACTGAATCGTACTTTTGTATGATACTGACTGTTCTTTCTATTATTTTGTCCACTCAAGTAAATGAGGCTCTGTCGCACACTTACAGTTCAGCAGCACCAAAAACTGCACCCTCCGACATGATCATAAAGCTGGATCAACAGCTCTCTCACACCATTTCAACATAAACTGAGCATCAAACCAATTTCATGAAGTCTGGATTTATTACAGGACAGCTGGTTCTATGTGGCCTATTTATTAAATTGAGAGTATTTCAATAAAAACGCACTGCTTATTATTAAACTATAATAGTGAACAGTGTTGTTGGTAATACAGACTTATTACTAAATACATAATCTCGTTTGACTGTCCACCTCTGAAATATCGCGAGATTCCGTCCAGCAACAGGTCGGTGCGCGGTTCGGCTCCAAGGAACAAAGCCAACCCTGTCGTGAATATGATTGGCTTATTTTTTATATCCGTCGGAAATTTAAACCAATCAGAGGTAAGCTAGGGGCGGATCTTCCACCGATGCACTTCCCCGCTGCTGAGCGTCGGACCCGGCGTCTGTCCTTCTGTCCGTCTGTCTATCTGTCCACAGCTGGTAGTTGAGGGACGAGGAGACAAACTGACTGAGCGAACAGCGCCAACAAGCGGGTGTTTGTAATTCAAACAGTCTGTTGGACAAAGGTCCTGGAACGGAACTCAAACAGTGGCGTGCTAACAGTTAGCGTTAGATGTGGTCAGCTAGCTGAGAGATGAAGTCAGCTAGCAGAGAGATGAAGTTAGCTAGCTATAGTTCTGCCAGTAGTTCTGTGTAGATCCATTTATTAAGTACTTACTTCACATTGGCAGTGACCGTGTTTCTGTATCATCGTTTAACGCGACACCACTAACCTAGCTAGCGATAACTTCAGCTGAAGGTAGCATCACAGTGTCCCATTACTTGGTGATTTGCAGCCCTTTTTAGAATAAATAATTGTTTGAACAAATCCGTGCATAGTGTTAATTGTAGTTTACCTGGCTTAACTAACTATCTGTCAACTGACAGGAAAATAAATGCATTAACCCAAATATCATCTACAAGATAACTAGTTAGTAATCGTCCCAGCCCAGTGCACGTGATGTAAATCTTACTGCTGATCACAAATGACATTACCTTCAGTTAGTCTACGTACAGATTGTATTTCACCCCAGCCTATAGTTTATCCATAGTTAATGATGGGCCCTAAAAAGAGACCAGTTCCCTTAAACCTTGCTCCTAATGGTAGTGGATTATCCTCCTCCACCAACACAGATGTTGCGTCAGAGTAAGTAATCCTATACTGATCAAATTATAAATATTTTGTACACAATCGGATGTGAAACAGTCATTTGTCAATTCAATCTGAAAGATGGTTTATTCCCATCATGTATCCTCTTTCTTACGGCTAATTTAGAGGCACAGGAGGAGCTGGATTTGGATGAACAGCAGAAGAAAAGGTTAGAAGCTTTCCTCACCCAGAATGCCAAGGTAGGCGAGCTGAAAGATGATGACTATCTGTGAGCTGAGTGAAGGCGATGGAGGTGTAGTCAGCATGTAGTGCCACAAACTATCAGGAATATTCATGGCCAGAAAGGTGAGCTGCCAACCTTACTGATATGGCTATAATAAAACTCAGATTTATGAATTTGGAATGTATCCTCTATCTAATCTGTCTTTTCTATTCAGCTCATTCATCTGGAAATGAAACCTGCCATCAGGAACCAGATCATCTGAGAGCTTCAGGTGTTGCACAAGTTCAACTCTCACTACATTGTGGGTTTCTATGGAGCCTTCCACAGCAATGGAGAGATCTGCATAGAGCTCACGGTGAGAGAATTGGAGAGGGCTGACTGTGTGTGTATTGCTGTATTTATCCATTCATCCCTTAATTGATTTTTTTTAATCTTTCCCAATTGTTCTTGTACTATTGAGCCAAAATATTATGATCACTGACAGATGAAGTGAATAATATTGATCATCTTGTAACAACAGCACATATATTGTTGGGATATATTGTTAAGAAGTGAGAAGTCGGTTCTTTGTTGTGGACATCTTGAAGAATAGAACTAGCAACATAATAACGCTACATATGACCTACGTATGTGCCTTATTAGGTTATTTCTGGTACTCTCTTCATTCAAGAACAGTATCTACTAAGTTTGAGAACAGAGTTTGTCTTATATCAGGGTGAATATGGCAGATAGTTCTTCCGTGCATTTGATTAAATCACTGCACTGAAGTGTTATAATGTTAGGAAAAACCCTGTAGGTGCATTCCTCTGATTCAGACCCGCTGTACCTTTTCAATATTTTCACCATACTGTAAGTGCACATTACAGTCATGGGACAGATGTGACCCTTTGAAATGTAGTGCTTTTTGTGATTTCTTTTCGTTTTCTTTTTTTTTTGTCTCTTAGTTGTCATGGATGGTGGATCTATGGACCAGGTGCTGAAAGAAGCACAGCTGATCCCAGAAGAGATTCTGGGCAAAGTCAGCATTGCTGTGAGTACATGCTTTATTGTCATATTATATGATGCAACATCATTCGTATTAATGACACAGTGACTTGCCTAAAGTGTTCTGTTTAGATAAAGCAGTTTCATCAAGGCTTGAAAAAACATTTTTTCATCGTAACAGGCTTTCAGTTTACTGTTTGTTGTATTGAGCTCAAAATAAATCATGGACTTCATATGCAGACCCACACGTCATTGGCCTGGAGGGGTTTCATGCTTGTTCCTGACTCTGTTTTCACATTATGCTTATTTACAGTTATTGACCTGAATAATTTCTCTGCTTTTTAAAACTGGTTTCTACCTGAAAGAGGAAGAACGCCAAATCATGCAATTGTGAGAATTTTCAGTAAGTTGATAATTGATTTTTGTGTGTCATAAGATTTTCCTCTCTGAGACATAATGCACAGTATTGAGTTTATTCAAATTTTGGATATGCATTTGTATTACTGACCACGTACCAAAGACAGATCAAGTCTATGTTTATGTAAATAATTGTCATATACTGTAGCATGTGATGCCTTCAAACATACTGGTGAATTCACGTGGTGAGATCAAGTTGTGTGACTATGGTGTGAGTGGGCAGCTCATAGAATCCAATGCCAGTTCCTTTGTTGAGACAAGATCCCTAATGTCGGTATGTTTTATGCTGTGAAAACATGAACTCAGTTCAGTTCTCACCATCACTCTGACCTGTTGAAAGTGGCATCAATAACCTAACTTTTAACAGTGCCTGGGTGTAAAGGTCCAATGTATAAGATTTAGTGACATCTAGTGGTGAAGTTGCATTTTACATGAAAATAATACCCCTTACTTCAGCCTCTCCTATGAAACATTTAGGAGAAGCTATGATGACCTTCAGGTAACGTAATGGTGTCAAAGGTCCTCTCTAGAAGCAGTGTTTGATCTGTCCATTATGGGCTACTGAGGAAACATGGTGGCCTAAGAGCAAGAGCAATATCTTAGCCATTTGACACCTGACATTTAATTCTGTAACAGTTCCTCGTATTTGTTAATATAATGTTAATATTTGACTTTGCTGTTTACTGTTAAGGTGAGAGACTTCGGGGAACCCATTTTTCTGTGCAGTCCAATGTGTAAAGCATGGGCTTGTCCCTCGTGGAGCTGTCGATCCGTTCGCTACCCAATCCCTCCTCCTGATACTAAAGAACTGGAGGCTATATTTGGACGACCCATCATGGACGGTAGTGAGGGAGAGAGACACAGCACTTCTCCGAAACCAGGGCCACCAGGTAGACTTGTCAGCAGTGAGCAAGACAAACGCACAAACACATCACTAGAATCTGTTTTTTTATCTCAGTCTTTTTTGAATATGTTGAACGTAAATCTCAGTTTATGTTGAATCCTATTCCAGGTCATTGTGCAGTCATGTCTATCTTTGAACTCCTGGTCCACATAGTAAATGAGGTAAGGATCTAAGAACAGATGATAAAGGCCCTCTGATTCCATTTGGGATTAACTGTGATCCTTGCTAAATCAGGATGGTGTCACTCATATCGGTGATATGATCAAATGTTCATTCAGCTTTCTACTGTATTTCAGCCTCCCCTCTAAACTATCACATGATGTGTTTACTTCTGATTTCCAGGACTTTGCAACAAAGTGGTGAGAGAGAATTTTAGCCTGACATTATTGCTTAGATGTTGTTTATTAACATACATTTAACACGCAACATAACTTTTTTGAAGTGTTAGCTGATTCATTAACATGAATTTATATTCATGCTCACTCTAAAGTCTTTGACAGCGGCAAAAATTTTGTTCAGTCTGACCTTTGAATTTTGATGGTCCAGTATTAGGGTTAATTCTCTGTGGTTGTTTCTGTTTTGTTGCAGCACCACATGTTTATCAAGCTGTCTGAGGCGGAGGAGGAAGACTTCGCTGGCTGGCTTTGTAAAACTATGGGGGTGAACCAACCAAGCACTCCCACGTGCACTGCAGACTGAACACACAATCTACTGGTCCTCACACACTATTTAAAAACACGGAGAAGCTGCTGCCTTAAACTGTACATACACATACATATCTTGTGTGCCATGTCCTCCTTCAGGTAAAGAGAAAGATGCTCTAACTACAATTTGCACCTTTTGTGTTATTAGTTGCATAATAATTCTTCTGAATGTTTCATGACAACATGAAGCTCAGTCATTTGTAATTTGGGTTATGTTTGATTGGGGTTTTAAGAACATTCTAACATGACATTTACATTTTTCTCAAAACCCTGCAGTCATACATATATCAAACATACTATATCAAAACTGGAGAATTTATCTCTTATGATAATAAAATAAACAAATACAATAGCTCTGCATAATTTTCAAACATGTCTCTTCTTCAGTGTTGGTTTTTCTCATCTTGTGTCTCCTAATAGTTCTGAGTCTTCCAGTGTGAGTGTGTCAGCAACATGTCAGGTTGTGTGTGTATGTTAGCCAGAGATGAGTGAGTCCAGGACATTTTTAAATGCATTTGTTAATGTGATTGATTTCATCAGCCTAGTGTTTAAAACACGACACAACTCCCCAAAAAAGATGTATGCTCTCTCTGTATGTTGGGGTTGTTACTGAAAATGGCGTCCTCCGCTTGTTCTGGTATCAATGGCTTCACATAAGTGATGCTGAGGAAGAGGCTGCCTTTGTAACGACCAGAGATTCAGACCTTGAAAAGAGGCTACTGTTACAAGACTGATTTGTCAATCTCTTTAGCAAGCTGTGTTGTGATTCATTGCAGTCTCAGCTGACTAATTTTTTTTTTGCCATTTGAGTGCCTCCTGTGTTGTCAGGATTTGGGAATTTCGCTCCCTTAGATTTATTCATTTTGTGTATGTCTTCTTTTTAAATACAATAGATATTTAATGGTAAAATCGTCGACCATGTCTTCATTAAGTCGTAATCCTCAATAAATTGTATGTATTGTAATATGCCGACATGATGTCCTCATTTGCTGGAATATTACTTCTGTCTCACGCTTGTTTCACCAGATGGGGGCAGCATATTAGGCGTATGGCACTGTGGACTACTGGTACAACTATTAACTTCAGTATGCTAAACCAAGATAGATACAGTGGCTGAGCGGTGAATTATGTACATCGGTGCAACCAAGGTAACTGATGAAATACATTAGTCATATGAGATGAGATAACGTAGCATAAGATGAGGCTGTGCCTCGGGTGGGTAGTGTGGGCCATCCACAGACCAGGTCAGCTGTTCGATCCATTCTCCCCCATACCCTTTTCTGAAATTGCTGCACATAGATGCATTTAGTAAATATGTTTGTGTGTTAGTGAGAATGGGTTAATAGCAAAAGATAAGATAATCCTTAATTAGTCCTGATAGAGGGAAATTGGCTGTGTTGCAGCAGCAAAGAGGACAGTCAAAGAAATCAGTAAAATTGATAGATTAGTAAACATGCAATATAAATCCAAGGAAATGGAATTTAAATAATATTTTCCATGCAAACAGAACATATATATATATATTTGAATTGCACTATTTTTTACTCTATTTGAGCTTTGTAGAATGTCTGGAGTGATCATGAAACGTCTCCCTTTAGTGCTTCTGAACTTCAGTCTGAAAGTGTGAGGCCTCGAGCTCTGAGAGAGACAGTGTTGCAGTATGTAGGGTGGCTCTGAGCAGCATTGACAGGAGGAGGGGGGGGGGGTACCACTGCAGCAGAAAAACAGCAAAGTCTGCAGTCATTAATATGCAAACATGCAAATGAGAGGGTAATTAGGATTGGGCGTTTGTCAGTGGCTCTTTGATTGCTAATGAATTCCAATCTGCAAGAAAGGGGGAGGGGATGATGAGCTAAAAATTAGGAAAAAGCAGGATGTGTCATTGTGCTTTCTCCTGCAAAGAGAAATGTGAAAAACAATGTGTGAAGGCTCTTTAGAAAGTGTACGCCTGGTTAAAAAGAATAAATGATGCTTTATTCAACTTACAATTTACACAACTACTGAACAAGCTGCTTTTAGACTAATCAAGCATAAACAAGATGACAACAGCCTTTTGAAACTGATGCAAAACATTCTTTGGGTGGAACATGCACTAATAAATGTAGTATGTTGAATTGTTTCCCAGCATCAATGAAAGCCACAACATAAAAAGGAGGAAATGGGGTTCTGAGTTTGTGCCAATACAATTAACCGTGCACGATGTCACTGAGCATGGCAGACTACTATGCCACGGAAGCAAAATAGAAAGATTCCTTGCTCATTATGAATGAGTGATGGGTCTGACCCCTGTAGAGAAGGATGCTCAGGTATTTCAGTGGGGGGGGGTGGCAGTGGCAGCATGTTGTGTGTCACAAACAGTGTTATTTTTATATTTTGGGCTAACGTGTGTGCGATAGTGTGTGCGGATGGGGGGGGTGCTGGTTCACACACGAGCACACACCGTTGTTATTGCTGTTTCAGTGGTCCCTTGACACTTGTGCATCTTCTTCCCTGGCATGTGAGATGAGGAGATGTATACATGGAGTAAAATAAATTAAATGTTGTGAAGAACGGGGGGAAAGCAGCTGCTCCTGTCACCTTATAGCATAATGACTTCCTTGCAACGCTGCAGCTTTTTCAAAGCTGACCACGAGAGCACTACATATAAGTGATGCTCATTCACAAGGTTCAAACAGGCCACCTCATCATTTACATAGGCATGCATGATGTTTATACCAAACATATTCCAAAAATACTTGAGCCAGGAATTATAAGTACAAACACTAAAACTGATATATTTGAGACGACTTATCCCAGCCCTGCTCTTGTTTGGTGTGTGATGAGTATGTGAGTGTGTTTGTGTGTGAGTGTGAAAGAGAGAGGGGGAGCTGTATTTTTCATAGGAAACAGGAAACCAGAAGTCATAACAGGATGCCCTAGGTTTTTCATACTGTACCTGATGCGTGGGTGGCTGCATGGGGGTAACCCATTTGCGAAGTTTACTGCTCATCTAGAAGAAGAGAGAACCCAGGAAAGAGTGGGTGGAGAATGGGGTGCACACTTTGGGGTTAGGAAAATGGTGTTCCAATCTAATTATAGCTCTTCCTCTTGAGTCTCACATCTTATCGTTCAAACTTGATTTTGTTTTGCATCCGTGTCGTTTGTCCTACTTTTTTAAACGCGACAAACCAAACATTGTTTGATGTTTTCGTGTGGAGCTGCGATATGATCACTTCCATTGCAAATATATGTGCCTGCTTTCCCCAGGTGTATTGTGAGAGCGTCACAAGTGAAGCGCTGACATGAGACCAGTTTTGTCATAATGAGGTTGATGTTCTCACACTGACTGAATGTGCCTCAACCCGCTGAAAACATATGAAGCTCTAGCAGCTTTTCTCCATTTGTCTTTGACAGTACAATTCTAAGCATGCATTTTCAGTTTTTTTTGTATTCAGCGTTTTACTTTGTTCTGAAGTTATAACATGTTGGACCCTTAGTTGATGACATGCAGGTGTGAGTTGCATGTGTGCAACGCATGCTGCTAACCATATGTGCATGTGTTGTCAACCACAAAGTGCAGTGGATGGCTGAGTTTTCTCGTAAAGGCCAGCACAGATGTTATTTAGGTTGGTTCCCCCCTAAAACCAGTTGAGGTTTTCTCTAGAAAGTCTCAAAACAAACACTGACATTAACTGCAGCGTTGTTTACATAACCACCAGATATACAACTCAAGAAAAGAGACCAGCCAGGCCACTTCTGTGGACTCATGCTGGCTCACGCTGGAAACTCAGTCTTTTAATTTCAGTTTGAGAAAGAGAAGAGGATAATGTATTGCTTTTGTGTGCTCCTTTTATGCCCAACACATCAGGGATTTCTGCAACTGCAGATGCTTTATTTTCCATGTACCCAAATACAAAGTCAAAACTATTGCAGAAATTCTGAATGTGTAACAAAATATTGCAAGATTTCAAATATTATCAAATGTAAGCTGTTATGGTTACTAGAAATATTGCTCAGGGGTGCGCTCATAACATTCTGTAACTATTAGCTGGTATAAACTAGAAAACTTGGTTTTAGTTAATACAGCATATCATTTAATATTAAGTTTGTAAACATGCCAATAAACATAATACACTGTAATTAACATATATAATATAATAACATAATTGTTTTATATTATTGTACTTTTAAACTGTAGATATACTTTCTCTGAGATACCAGTACTGTTTATATTGTGTGTGTGTTTGTAATGAGACACAATGGTAAGACTGAATTTGTATTATGTTTTTTGGTCTTTTAGACATTGGACTAAACTAAATCTACTGGATAAAGAGTGAACTCATCAATATTAGGTGATCTGTTAGGCTGTTGTGATATGTATATCATTTTTCATTGCAATATTTTATGTTTTGTTTATAGCAAGGTCAACCCAGAATCTGATCTTATGTCATTATTTTAAACATTATATTTATAAATCCTATTTAAACTTGATAACATTATTATCATACTGTGACATTATGAACACACACGATATGAACATTATCTCAGTGTTTGAGAACAAAATTAAAAGGCGAGCAGCCGCAGGCGGAGGGAACCGCCCCTACAGGGTGATGCTGAAACATATTTGGACGTCCCCCCTGTCAATCAAATGTTCCTCGCATCCAATTGGTTCCTCCCTTCGATATTATCATTCCATCTTCTGGTGGTCGGCTCTGTTGGGCTTTTCCGCTGTCTACTTCCGCCAGTCGAAATAGACCCCCCGCAAATCGATGCTCCTGTCGTTTCGTGCTTTTCTTTCCGCAGCCGCGACACGGGGACATTTTGACGAGTTTTTAACACAATCGCATCAACGTTAACACCGTCGAAACCTGATCCGCACGATTTGAGCTGAAACTGGACACCGCTGATGTTTCAGCGTCCTCCCGTGGGCTGCGCTGCGCAGTGATACCACACTGGAACCCGACAATGTGGAGGCTGTTAAAATGTCTTCTCGGGGAATGAGACGCGAGCTTTTTCTCTAACGATCCGAGGACCAGAGCAACACCAGAGTAATGGTTCGTGTCGGAGACGTGATTTCAGTTGTGTGACGAAGACGGCAGCGAGCTGAGGCGGCGGTGGAGCGGTTCGTTTCGCCTTTCGTCATCTACATCAAACCCGCGGCAGTGAGTCCGGACCACGGGGGGAAGGAAGGACCCTCTCCATAACTTTGTGTTTTTTCCTCGCTCCACTCCAGCCGTTCATTTCTCCCTGTTGGATGCCACATCACTGAATCCAGGTAAATGGACAAACACACACTCGTGCATGATGAACAGAAGTTGCGTGTCTCGTTGTTACCGGAGTAATAATCAAGTTTTACGCGCATCGTTAAGTTGCGCTGAGTGGGAGCCTCCGCCGGGAAGAGCGGGGTCTCTGGGTTTGTCTCCCCCTCGGCCTGAGCGAGGTTTTTTTGCGGTGTTATTACTCAGTATTAGCCGCTGGTGTGTGCGGGTAAAGACTTCTTTGTTCACTTGAAGTGGCTATAACGTTACCGCACGTTAGCATGTAACCAGACTGAGTTAGCTCCCCTCGGGGTTTAGCTGTCTGAAGCACCAGTAGCTCCCCCACAAACAAACGTTAGCATCGACACGTTAACGTAATAACTGTTTTAAAAAAATCGGTTTGACGTGTTTTTAGCTAAAATAGCAAACTGTTACACGTTTACGTCGCATAGTTTAGTGCTTTACTGATGTAGCTTAGGACACTTGGATTACGTGCAAACAACCAAATGGAGCAATGCTAATAAAACCCGTGTTAAAAGTGTAACTCGGGAGTGTTATTTTTTCACGCACATTCACCAACAACAAACAAACACGCTGCAAGAATGCGACCGAAGCTACATTCGCTCCTTCCTGCATGGCTTTAGATACAAGCAGGCCAACTTTTTACAGACTTTTTGGGTGTTTTGTGAGGTTTTCTTGTGTCTTGACTCCTCAGCTTTAACTTGGGCAGCCCCAGTCTTTGTGTTCATCGGTGTCTCAGTCCCCTGCTCGACGTGAGCGGAGGCAACAGGTTTTTTTGTTTTTGTTTTAAATCATTTTTAAAAACTTGTAACCCACCGATGAGCTATGAAAACACGGGCTCTCGATATCACACCGTCCCCCCTGTCTGACACCAGGTGTGACATTTTGTTTGGTCGTTCATGCTTCTAAAGTTTTCTCCAAATGGGCTAGGCCCAAGGTGGGGGTGCTCCAGACGAGCCACTTCCATTTGTTAGGAGGGGCTAAAACACTTATCCCCCATTTTGACCTCAGCTCACTGACACACAGAAACTACAAGATGATGTAGAGTCCACACATTTTGGCTTGATCGCAGATCATACATTTCCCTTGTGATCACTTAAGTATCTATCTAGCTATCTAACATATTATTTAGTAAATGTGTCATTACTGTGTGTATCTGCCAATGCGCAACTGTGGTGCCATTGTACACACTGCTTTACCATTAGTCTGGATCTAGTTGCAGCACCCTTTCAAGTGTCAAGTTTTCATGTTGTCATACACAAGGGTCAATGATAAAATAGAAAAGTGGAACAGAAGAAGAGATCAGTTCAGCCTCATTCATGTGTGAGTATACAGAAGGATGAAAGAGAGGAGAAATTTCACATAAAGTTATTTAAGTAAAGCAAAAGAGCTCAATATTAACATCAAATACAATACTATGATTATTATATTCCATTTGCTATATACATTAGAGGATGCAAGTGTAAAACTAAAGTATCAAGTGCACACTGTGTAAGTATATTCATTAATGTTATCGCACCCCTTTATGCAATAAAATCAGGTCCAGCTGTTATTTAGTTTTGAGTTATCAGCTTTTACTTTTTATTTTATTTTTATTTCTCCGTGTTGTCCTTCTCATGTTTTTCACTGGTTTATAAACAAAGAGTTGGGAGATTAATTCTAATATTTCCTTTGGTGTCACTGGTACAAGTAGTATTTGTTCTTTTGCAAACTATTTGCGAAACAGATAAATGACAAACCAGAATGGTACTCAGTGGAGTGCGTACCTCTGCCAGCAACCCCCTTATCAAAACATTCACCGCACCAACATTTAACAGGTTCTTTCCTGACCCATTCTGCATCCTTCCACCAAGTTTTTCACTGAGAAATTCTGACAAAAACCCTGTTACTCTTAGTTAACTGATCTTGTACCAACATTAGCAGATGACAGAAAGAAAAAAACATGTAAACACTTTTTAGGTCAACCTGCAGAGGTACACTGACTCTGCATTATATTTAAAGTGGCAACCATCCAAAATAATGACAACACACTCCGGTGGCAACAAGGAAACCTTCTACCACACGAACTGAACAACACATTAACATATATCTGCTTGATTTAAAAAAAACAGAAAAAACAAGCTAGAGTCTTAAAGATTGAACTTTGAATTTAACACCTCTAACCACAGAAAAAAAAACAATAATGTCCCCCAGCTTGTATTTACTGAAGTGTTTGTCTGTTGCTAAGTGTTTCTGCAGTTTTGTCCAACTCATGTAGAAATAATATATTGAGATATTTTACACACATGGCCTGCATTCACTTTGATGCAGACCCACTTGAAAGTGAATTGCCTTTTTGAGACTCCAGCAAGTTGTGTTATAACTGTGAGTTATTTAAAAGAGCTTTCAGAGCAGGTTGGTTTATGAGGAGAGGAAGCAGCCAGGGCCCAGGGGCTGACTAACAACAAGCACAGTGTAGCCTGTGGATGAACCACTGTCACCCATGTTAGATATTGGCTTTTCTGACAAACTGTCACTTGAAAGATTGAAAGATTACATGTGCCTGCATAACCCTCCCTTACAAGCGGATTGAGTGAGGTAATGAGTTGTAGGTTATGTGCTTGAATGAATTGAGTCATCATCCTCTTGAATCACCGTCTTCTGTTTCGAGATTGAATGATCAACATTAGATTTGCATTGTAAGTGTAAATTTTGCCTGGGAATNCCTATTGATTAAGGTATTTGACTTACTGAGCCTTCTAAACCCATATTTAAAATCTACTCCCACAAACATGGGAGGTTTTAACTTCAGTCAGTTCTGCTTCATGATTGGGGCATTTACAGATTGCGTCGTAATGTATTCAGTGGTTTAGGTAACACGTCAAACCAGACTTGTTTTAAAATGATCTCTGATTGCCCATGTGGATTTTGTTTCAAAGCTGTGTCTGACTGTTGTTTGTCCTTGTTTAAAATCTCAGCTGTTTAACTGGTGAGTACAATGTTGTGAACAACAGGAATGACAAACAACAATGAAAATAACACATTGTTTATAAAATGAAAACGCTGTGTAATTGTTAAGTTCTAACATTTCCTGAAACTTCGTACTCTGTTCCCCGTCGAGTGCAATCAACAATACGTCTATCTCCAGTTCTATGTATTGGGTAGTCAGACTATCACTCTCCCTTACTTTAGATTAAACATTGTAGACAGCATCATAGTCATACCCATTACTTTGTCACATAATCTTAATCAAGGTATCCAAAGATACCGATTCCGGATTTTGAGAACATCTAACTTTTCTGCTTTGTACCTTTGCTTGTGAGAATAGTTCACATCTTACAAATGGGAAAATATACTCATATTCTCCTTACCTCTGCTTACAGTCACTTGCTGAGACTGAAAGGACAAGTGAACAGCAGCAGAGCATGGCTGCAGTGGAAACAGACAAGGAGCTCAACGACTTGCTGGATTTTAGCGCGGTAAGATCCCTCTGAAGAATCAGTATGCATCTAATAGAGTTCATTGCTACCAGAACTACAAAGTAGCAGTTGGTTGAATACATACTGTATATGATACAAGGCTACAACTTATTAAATTCTTGACAGACTCCCACTGGTTTTTCTTCACTGTTTCATTCCTCTCATTTTAGATGTTTGCGCCTCCAGCTTTAAATGGCAAGAACCGGCCGACTACTCTCGCCAGCAGTCAGTTTGGTGGTTCAGGTAAGATCAATACATTTATTCCTGCTGTCCATGTGAGTCCTCTAGTATAGTTTAATGCCTTGTCTACATTACTGCGGATATGTTATTTTAAAAAGATATTTCCCCCTCCATTTCTAAAAAACATCTCCAATGACTGCAAAAGCTAGCATGCAGGGCCAGTAGGTAACGTTAAAGTCCACATCGCGGCCCATCAAACACCAGAGAAGAATGCTGTTGTTCAGGTAATTAGGCAAGGCAGATAAAGAGGGGAAGGTGTCTGCAAAATCGTAAAAATTTGCATTTGGACAAGATGCCCAAATGCAGAGGAAAATGGTAAATTTGTAAAATATCCAGATTAGTGTGGAAATCTGGATAGTTACTATTTTGTAATAATTTGTTTTTGTTTTGCTGGATTTCTTTTTTTCTTGGTTTTTCTAGATTTCTACGTCTGTCTTTGCAATTTTAATGAAATAAATGCTTTTATTTTATTGATCTAATCAAAAATTAGCTGCAAAGAAAATAAAAGCTATTTGTCTGTTCTTTAACCTATAGCTAGTGATGAGAGCCTTTTTTGTTTTTAAAGCTCCCTAGTATTTATTCATATTAAACTACAATACAGACAACATAAAATACTGTAGTAGATAAGATTAGATTACAGATCACAGATAATTGGAAAGAACCTCAGGAAAAATGCTAAGCTAAATTTATGTAAACTATATTTAAGTAAGTGTTACCTCCTCACACTCCCCTTGCAGGTGTCCCTTCCATCACCTTTTCAGCTGTTGCTATTCAGTCACCTTAAGACAAAGGCAGAAGGGGGTTGATGGGAACAGCTCAATTAATCTCCTCTCTGTGAAAAAGTTTTTTCTCACGTCCTACTCCCACCCTACTTCTACTCTTTATAAGTAATTTCCCCCCAGTGTATTATTATCCATCCTCATTAAAAACATGAAAAACTAATCCCAGCACTTACCACAGGTTTTGAGACATACATTTAATTTACAATTAATAAACATCCTCAGAGATACTTAAGATCACATTTCCTTCTTGTGTTTTTCATTTTGTATTGCTGACATATACAAAAATGTGTTAACTTTTAAACATATCTGGGTCTGTTTCTACAATAACCAACACCACCACTTGCCCCATGCAAACCTTCCCCCGTCACCTCTGTATCTATAGAAGTGCAGTAGCTCTTTTCTGACTGGCCATATTATGAAACGGAATATTGAATTAAGATGAAAGACAAGGCAAGCTTTGACAGGGTGGGGAAATGGGACTTTATTTCTTTTCATTTGAGAACCATTTGCACATTCTTTTGTCAAGGCAAGGTGCGTGCTTTAAAAAGAGACTCAGATGTTTAATCCAGCGGCCCTTCATGGCATTGTCCCTTTGCCTTTAAATTTTTCTCCACCTAAAATCTAGACTTTGAGCATCAAACAGCCTCTTTTCTTATCTGCAAAATATCTGTTGTTTGCTCCTTCATGAAGAACAGCTTTCGTTGTCAGCACGATTATATGTATTTTTACAAAGTTTAACTTTAACTTCATTCAGAAATATGTACTGCTGTCCTCTATTATACATACAGACGATCGTAGAGAAAGAGGAAATGATACAGCTATCGTATGAAACCTTTTTTAGTATATTTGATACTTGTCTCTACCCTTTGAAAACACATCACCTTCTTAATTCATTATATCTGTTTAAAAACAAGGAGCATTCACCTACAGGACCTGCTACTACTTCTGCTTTGACAAGTTTTGGTAGTTTATATATGTGAATTCAAACTGTATTCCTGCTTTTTGTGGAGCAGCTGCGACATTTTTTCCTTTCAGACTTCATTGCCTTTTTTTTTTTTTTTTTACCTCAGAATGGTTAAGGTTTTGGTTATGTGGAGGTTTAACATGTGTGGCTGTGGGGATCCTCCCTGCCAGTGCTTCCAGTGATGATAATATCTCCGCTCTGGTCTTAATGTGCCTGTTCAATCCCTTTCACTAGTCAGTTAAAGTCATTTTCAGCACACTTTCATTTTTTGGTCACTGGAAACCGAGAGTCCTAAAATATATTTTTAAACTTTGGTATGGGCAGACGCAGAAGGTTGGTAGTTTCAAATTTGCATGACATGTTCCATTTTTCAAACACAGATGTGAACTAAACACACAGAACCTGAGAGTGATACAATTTACAAGTAGATTTGGGGTTTAAAAAGGGAACTCCTGACAAATGTGTGTAATTTCACACATAGTAAGTACAAAGACTGCAAGCTGTATTAGGGGTTAGGGCACAGTGGGTTGTGTTTGAGAAGTCTCCAGTGACTCATGGGTTAAAGCAGCCTGGCCTGTGTTATTGTACATTGTTCAGTATTTCATTTACAGTGTTCACTCTCCCGAGAGTTGATCTGACATCATGCTTTGTGTCTGTGTGACTCACTTTGCCAAGGGAAGGAAGAAGGTGTGCAGACAAAACGGTACACTCAGTTATAGGTGCCTGGGGCAGTGTTCCTGTAAAAACGAAGACATGTCTGCAAGTTTGGTCAATGTATGTGTAAGAGGTTTTTTCTCATGCAGCCTATGACTCAGACTGGCTGTCTGTTTCCAGTATTTCTTCCTGTGTAATTATAGACCATCCATGCTTAAAGGGGCGTTTCATGCTGGGAGGAGAAGTGCATTGGGGTTCACCAGAGAATTTGTCTGATGTTACTCACCCTTTTCTTCGTTTTTCTTTTTCCAGTCCTGATAGTCTGTCTGAGCACCACACTACTCATGTTCCTCCTCACGGTTTTGACAATTATCACGTCGCTAATAAATCTTGTTTGCTCTGGCAAAGTCATTTTGTCACTCAAGTCAAAATGTGAATTAATTTCATACCTCTGTGGTCTCATGTCTAATTTATATTTGATAATAATTTGCACTGAGATTTGTTC